CCTCTATATTTTCTATGTACACAAATGCTTCTGTATACACTTTTTTTGCAACTCACAGTAACTGAGAAATATTCTAAACTGGTGAACTGTTTTTATAAATTTTTGCCATTATTTCTCAACCCGTGCTTAAAAAATTAGTGACTCGTGGATAAATCCAGATACAGAATTTAATCTAAATCGGACCACAGGTTTTGTCTGTAGCTCTGTATCTGGATCATACAAGTGTGTATTATATAACCTGATATTAGTCAAAATATGTTTTATTCTATAACGTTTAATTTAATTAAACATAAAAGTCATGCTCCCTCCATTTTTAAAGTATTCAGTCCAAAAATGTAATAAATTTACTTGTGCATACATATTTATTTCGTTTTAATAAATAATTGAGGTGATGCAATACACTTATGTAGGCAGTCGCAGCAGTCGAATCCGGGCATAGCGCCTAAAGTTTCACGAACGCAAACCGCGCAACGAGTAGCTAAATGAGCCGTAGAGTAAGTGAGCCATCTAATATTTTGAAGAGGGTTCACTTACTCTACGGATCATAGTGCCAATGAACTGTAGAGTAAGTGAGCCATCTAATATTTTTCTGCAGGCTCGTATAGTATACGAGCCTATTCCTATAATTTATATTATTCATTATTTTGGCTCGTATACTATACGAGCCGATTCCTGAATTATCAAATAATTCGTAAGCTTGGCTCATAGTCACTATGATCTGTAGAGTAAGCGAACCTTCCTACTGTATTTTTAAATATAATACACGAGGCTCATAGGCACAATGATTCGTAGAGTAAGTGAACCCTCTTCATTTATTTTTTATTTTCGATAGGCTCGTATAGTATACGAGCCTGTAGTGCAAGTGAACCTTCAATATTATTTAAAAAGCTCGTATAGTCTATGATCTGTAGAGTAAGTGAGCTGTCCCCTCTTTAAATAGACCACAGTAATTTTAATATGTATCAGCTGACTTATTTGTTTGTATTTGTTATGCGTTTTTGGAAGCACATTTTTTATTTCAGCTGCGGAATTTTTAATACGGACGAAATGAGAGCATTCTATTGGCTGTCATAGGGCTCTTGAGGGACACCATTGCCGCAACGATACGATACGGTGTAATGGATAGAAGAGCTCAAGGTTGATGTACCAAAGGTATCTGGATGAAATCCCACCATTGAAACAAACTTTTTTTCAAAGATTTAGCTTATAATGCAATTTACTTCTTAACTGTACATCTTTTGTTAAAATTTGAGGCATTTATAATTTTGTTTATGAACAAAACTATTTTTCCTATCATTAAACCTTCCTGTGTTATTTGATGACATCATCACAGGCTCTGTTGACGAAGAATCAGCCCTCCAACTCCAGGGCCAACTCATTGCCCTCCTGAAGAAAGGTGATTTTTTACTCCGGAAGTGGTCGTAAAATTCCCCTCGGAAGCAGTTCCAGAAGATCATCGTGAGTCACCTGCCTTTCTGCAAGATCCAGAGCAACCTTCATTCTCATTACTCCATCTTAGGAAAAACTGGCCACCAACTACGGACTCCTTCTCCTACCACTTGGACCTAACCTCCGGCACTTGTACTAAGTGTCAGCTACTTGGCAATATCACAAGGATTAATGACCCTTGTGTTTTTTTAGCACCCATAACAATGTGGTTCAAATGTTTAATGCAACTCCCGTGGACCCAACAACTATGGGATGGGATGAACTCACATCCAGTGACCTCACCGACAAGTGGCGTTCTTTTGTAGCAGAAATATAAGAAATTTCTCAGGTTAATATACCTCGTGCATACCATTTTTCTGGATCCTGCAGCATGGAGTTACATGGGTTCTCAGACGCCTCGGAGCGAGGATACGCAGCTGATGTATACTCGCTGTTTGACCTCCACAACAACGCAGTCATAGCCAGACAAGTTATTGCTAAACCCCGTTCAGCCCCACTCAAAAAGGTCACTCTACCAGACTCGAGCTATGTTCCGCTCATTTTATGGCTCAATTAATCACGCTGTTTATCAATCTTCTCTAAGAGCTATTCTCATCACATCACTTGTGGTGTAACCTTGGCATGGAATACTCCTTCTCTAGAGCTTCATGTTGGAGACCTCATCCTCCTTCAGGAGTCATCATCCCCCTTCAGTGGCCCTTGGGACGCATCACCACAACACACCCCGGAGACGATGGCATAGTGTGTGTAGTCAGTGTGTAGTAGACGTGCGCACCAACCATACCGAAGGCCTGTCTCAAAGCTCTTCCCTCTGTCCATATACTAAGTGGGTTAGACATGCCGGCCTGTAGACAATCATTTGTTGAAGCCTACAATGCTTCGAGGCGGCTGGTATGTTCCGTATGGTTTTGTAAATATGATAATTATAGGTAATATCATAATTAATCAGTAATATTATAAAAAATTATTTAACTGTGTGCATAGGTTTTTAAAATTTATTTGATGTATATTAGTTATTTATTTCAAGTCTGTATGGAATGTACCCCACTCGGCCACTCAGACACACACACACACACACCCACACACACCATGGCCATTCCTCTCTCATATTCTCCTCAAAATCATCCAATACCTACGTCATAAGGCGTGATCTATCTCTATCTCTTTTCCTCTCATGGAAAACTCAAAATACCCCACCACGATTTTATTCAGTTATCGTCTAAAACCTTCCTCGATCGGACCTATGTGCCGCACCACACCATTATTCTGGCAATCTCGGTCTTTTGACCACCTCCGAGGTGAAGTTTTCCCACCTTAAACCTCTCTCTTTTGTATAAGTTATTGACAATACTAAATTTTTCCTTTCGAAGTGTGTGCAGTGAATCAGAATGTCAAGATTTGCTGTGTGTCACATCTGCGTGGCGAGCACACCCAAAACCCCAATCCCCCTGTTTACCCTCCAGTGTTTGATTTCCTAATGAAAGGTATGTGCGACTATTTTCTCATAACTATTATTAACTGATCCCACATCGAACAGACGCCTTTTCAGATTATTAAACGTCCGAACAATCTATGATCAGTATATTTTTGCCTGTGTTGTCCACTCCTCATCAAAGCCAACCTGAACCATTTTAAATCCTAGGCCACTTTCACAACGTTAGAGTCACAGCGGTAGCTGAATACCCAGAACAGACTACCTTTGAAAAGGGATAGCCTCCTGGCAGTTGCAGTGGTGCAACTGTTTGATACAGTGCACAGCCACCTCACTCGAGAGAGCTAGAGACTAAATAATTTAAGCAAAGGATCAAGGGGCTCCTACAGGGCCCGTACTAATCCATCGTCAAGAATTTCGAGGAGGCACAAACATCTTAAGTGCATACCACCATCTAATCTAAGCTAAAAGTTGTAAATGTATGTTTATTTAAAACTTTTTTTAAATTTTTGACGCTGTCCTGTCCATTCGGCCCTCCTGGCTGGTCACTGACGAAGAGGAGGCAATACGGTGAAAAATAGTCTTGACTAATTTCTAAATAATAATCAACGACCTGTGAAACACTGGAATATTGCAATAATAATATAAATTTTTGTCGTCTTTGGTCTTTGCACAAATATATTCTTCTTTCCCTGTTTTTTAAGTCGTCGTCGTCAAACGAAGCGAGCAGTGTTTCCATTTGAGGGATAAAAATCCCTTTCTAGGGATATTTAGGGCCTTCGAGGGATTGAAAAGGGATTGAGGGATAACTAGGGATAATCAGCGAAATTGGAGGATTTTTTAGATTTTCTAGGGATTTCAGGCCTTTGACATTATAATATTGAAATATTGATAAAATAATACATTATGGTTGTATTTCAACAACGTTAAGGACCTATTTTGGCTAATTTTGCAAGGTATTGATAACAACACATTGATTATACTACTTTTCCCCTAGGTTTTGGTAACAAATCGATTGTAGCATAGATAAAAGATACTCCTCAAGGAGTATGTTTTATCTATGGTTGTAGGTAGTGGTAGTGACGTAGTGTTTCAAAGTCGGAACACACAAGGGGAAGAGTAACAACCAACACTGCACGAAAGAAGCGAAGGACTGGAGTTGGTCGGTGGAATGTAATGGCGGATCTAGATTACTGTATTTGTTTCTTAGTAGCCCTGTGCCCTGTGTCAATGTCGAAGTCGAATGTTTGTTTTCGTTTGATTTTGTTTGCCGGTGATTTCTGTGATGCTTTTTGGTTAGTACGTAACTTGCTGTAACCTTTTCACCAAGGCATGGTGGCCATGTTTGAAAAAGACTATAAGTTTGAAATTTGGACACTTGAGTAATATTTTTGAAACAATTGTAAATACTTATAAATACAAATTATTAGTATATAAAATTTTAAAAATAACTATTTGTGTCATTTTTTAGTTAATTAATCTTGTTTTGTACCACATAGACAGTTTTTAATCACGGCTACCTTTAACTCCAGCCGGAGGCCGCGGCCTTCAAAGTGGCAACGTTGCAAGTATAGTGTGTTGTAAAAGGTGTTTGTTTAATGATATTTATGTATTTTTTAAGAATACGAAAGCTTGGTTACTCCGAAAATGTTGACTCCACATTGAATGTCCAGAAATAGATTTTCAATTTATATTGTTTTGGTTTTCGATTCTATATTATGTTTTATTTCCATGTTAACTTATGGGACGTCTGGCGCTAAACAATACAGTACTACGGTACTTGCAACGTTGCCAATTCTACCAGGCTGCGGCCTGCCTGGAGTTAAAGATGGCCATGGTGCAAAAATGTTTTTTATATAGTATTACTTTATAAATAATATGGGATATTGAAGAATAATATCACTAGTTACCATATTTTAGGTGGCTATACATGATATCCATTGGTATTGCTGCAAAAATAATAAGTTATCTAGATTTGATGAAGAGGGATAATTGGAGGGATTATTAGAACACGGACTAGGGATAACTAGGGATTTTTTGACGTTGGCCCAGGGATATTTTTTTCTTGCGGATGGAAACACTGGAAGCGAGACAGAAAAAGTCAAACAGAAACAGAAATAAGAAGATTGGATTGAAGAAACAAGGTTTAGTTATTTTTGTAGCTATAGTGAAATACTTTGCGATTCGCATTATTAGTTTTCGTCGAGTTACAACAGTATCATGTTTTAAGATCTAACTTTTTTAAGGTCCTGATTCACTGGGATATAATAATACTGCAGTTATTAAAATGGATAAGACAAAAGAAAGTGGTGAGTTGTCTTACAGTACTCTATTAAAACTCCAATTAACGAGGCAACTCGGACCTATAAATATCAAGGGAGCCATCGAAGCCGCGGATGAGAATATTTATTGTAAATTTGTAACTGTTCAATAGCCTAGATCTTACTCTTAGAGCCTAATTATTAAATGTTGCCCTAGTGGGCCTGCGTAGTCTTAAAAATAAGCTGTACCTAGTTGGCTAGTATTAATTGATCATAGCATAGGCCAAGTAAATTACTCCTCTATAACCTACACAAATACAAAATGGTAGCATAGGGTAATTTTATTATAGGCTACATCCTATAAGTTAGGTCTTTGTGTTGAAATACGGTAGGCCTAACTCAAAATGTAACCACATTGTTACATCCGAGGGAGCGTTTAAGTTTTTTTTTTTAAGGTTATGTTTTGGTTCTGTTTCTTAGTTAAGTACAAAAAAGTCTGTCATAAAAATCAAAGAATATCAATAAAATCTAAGGTACCATGGCAAAATTCTGTGCATTTTAACTTGTCAGTAATTACAGCTTCAAACCTTGTAATGCGCGAACTAGGTAGCTTCGATTCTCTCCACAGCGTCTGGGGGAGTTTTAAAGTGTGAGGACGGCCCAAACTCTTCCAGTCACACAGACATTCAGTTGTCTTAAATTGCCTCACCCAACAAAATATGCAGTTCTGATGAGAAGCCTTCATCCTAAATTTGGCCAGAAAGTTCCACTGAACACTAACAATAGCATGAGTATGAGCAAATTGTAAAATTTAACATGCTTTATCTTGTTTTTTGTAGCTATTTGTTAGCAGGCTTTGTTGTACTCAACTAAGCAACCGAGACAAAACATAACCTTGTCAAAACGAACTTGAAAACACATTTTCTATTGGTGTACGGTAACAATCAGCTGTTTTAAATCACGGAAATAGACATAATAAACGTTTAATTTTGCACCATTCGTTATGAATTGCCCTGTAGGCCTATAATTAATATTTCATTTGATAATCAGCTCATATAAAAAAGTCTGTAATTTTGTACCTAGGCCTATGTTCACAGATGATACAAGCTAAATTAATTGCAATCTAAAAATAATCATAACTAGAACTTAAATGAAAATGGCTTCTGCGCAAATATAATGAATAATAAAAAAATACTTTTAAAATATGCTGTCAATTGAAGATAAACTTAGCCTACATGTTTTGTGTGACTTTTTCAGGTACATGGTTAAAGTTTTTTAAAGACGCTGGAATTCCTACCAAAACTGGAGCTTCATACGCACATATATTTACTGAGAACAGAATCAGTAAAGACATGCTTTCTGATCTTACTGTTGATCACTTGCGATTGATGGGTATAACTTTGATTGGTGATATTATCGCAATTCTACGTCATGCAAAATCCGTTCACCAAGACGTAAGCCATAACTTTTTTTCTTCTTTCATTTGAATGTTTTCTCTAACTTAGCCACTAGCCTAAGTTAACTAACTGTATGTTATTTAGTTTTTTTTTTATCAGGATTACAAATTAAGTTAGGCCTACTTAATTGTTAATAAATTAATAGGCTAGTCCTTTGGTAAATTGTTGACAAGCTTATTTGAATACCGTATTCCATTCCATGTTTTGTATTCACTAGGCCTATAGTATACCCACCGATGTTATTTTTTACATTTTACACAATTTAGGTTCTATGCCTATTTATTTCTAAGTTTATAGGTTTATGTTTTATTTTTCACAGAGCTATTTTGGTCACTACATTTGCATTTTCCTATATGGTTGCCTTTGCTACAAGAATTTTAAGGCCTGAGAGAGTCAAAATACCATATTCTAGTTGAGTTTAAAAGTTAATGCTCAACTTCTGGCAAATCATACTAAAATAGTAAGGCTAGTAAGTAAACAGAAGAATTTTCACTACTCACATGTGTTTATAACAAGCCATCCACAGTATACTAGCAATACTAGCAAATTACAAAATACAGTGCAAAGGGGAAAACATCAGTTGTAACTAAGATGAGCAAAGATTAAGATTACTCTGAAGATTACTCGATGTAGAGGAAAATAGTTTCAATAAAATACTGATTATTTTACTTAGCCCTCTCCCACCAAAATTTAATCCCTGAAGTGAGGCATTCCAAGTAAACTAATTACATCTGGGTGTTTTAATTGGCATAAAACAATTACCGTATGCTAAATCCCAATAAAAAAAAAAAAAAAAAAAACAGAATCTCAATTTCCTTAAGTTAGTATTGAAAAGCCAAAAATCGTTGTCACAAGTCATTTTGAAACTAATATGATTTTGTTTGTATGTATCATATTTTTATCTGCTATCTTTAGTAAGAGTAAAAGTCGAACAACGGGTTTCAATGAGTAGAGGGGGAGAAAGGTTCTGTGCGAGTAGCACTTAAACTTAAGCAAGATCATAAGTACCCCCGCCACAGCAAATCTGTAGACTAAGCGAATTTCCATTTTCCTGGTTGGATTTACACTAAAATATATATCCTTAAAAATTGGGTTTACTCATTTTTGACCCTCAAAACAAAAAATTTTTCAATTTCTATCTATACTTTTTTGGTAGGCCTACTCGATAAACCAAATGTTATTTAAATAGGGTGACCCGGGGCAATTCTGGCACGGGGCAATTATAGCAATGGCCTATATTTTTTTTAAATTTCAGCTTTACAGATCAGTGAAGCAATATTTGTTATTTCAGCATATACCTCCTATATATAGGAAAGCATTTTTGTAAAAATAAAATGTTTGCAGTAATTTTTATTAGCGATTAAAAAAGTACTTTCTTCCACAGCCCGAGGATATCGAAACATCGCACACGGCTAATTTTTTTTTCCCTATGAATTTTATATTTTATTTTTTTTTATACTCAAAGATAATTGTTCAGACTTAAAACTTCATGAACAAAAATAGTAATAGCAGTTATCCCTTTAAGATATTTAAATTTAAATGGGTGCTATAATTGCCCCATTTTCATATGCTATGGGGCAATTGTGGCAAAGAACCCGGGGCAATTATGGCAGCTATATATCTTTATACAAATAATGTATAAATTAAAGAATAAATTGTATAACAACGTGTGTTATGTGTAATATGTTTCATTTCAGTTCATTTGGATGGCTTTGTAAACACCTTTTGCTTAGATTACTCTATGGCAGCCTGATTATTTTTATTGTTTATTGTTGCTAGAAGTTTTGAGGTTAAGGCCCTTGTACGCTTGTACTGTCTTACCGGTTTATTCACAACTTCCTTATAAATAGAGATAGAACAAAAATTAAAACACCATCTTAAACAGCTAAATTAGGCCTATGCCATGATTGCCCCAATGTCAGAGCAATTTAAACAATAAGGAAAATATAAGGTATTGCTATAATTGCCCCAAGGTTGGGGCAATTCTGGCATCTGACACTCAAAAAAAAAAAACCTCAAACCCCCTTAAGGGGAGTTTGAGATTGTTGTCTAAATATATGAAAACACTAGAGGAATAACATAGAATTACTATGGTAATTGTCAAAATAAAATGAAAAATATGTTCACCGCGGTACAAGCAGTTAAAGTTAAGGTTCACGTCTGGCTGCCAGAATTGCCCCGGGTCACCCTAGATTTAATTGAAATAAATTCAGACAAATGGAGATTTGCTTATTTGGCAGGTTTGCTGCAGCGGGGATATTTTATCCAGAGGTTAAGTGTAAGAGAGGGCCATGTGGCCCTATCTTTGCCTGTTTAAATAAATCATTTTCATTTCATTTCATGGGAATTTTAAATTTTTTAAAATTTTCTCCGTAACCATTAAGTAGGTGTATAACTAGGTACGCTAAACACCATCCAGGTCTTACCATGATTACGGTAGTAGCTTATTCCCTGTGTGGGAAATTCGCTAAAATTTATCTTGTTTTTGTCTAATTGCGTGCTTTTACATTACAAAGTTGTTATTATTTCAGCAATCAAGTTTTCATAATTTCAGGTTTTAATAATTTTTTTTAAAATTATAAAATGTTTCTTTGCAATATAGGCCTATTGTTTTTATTTAAAACCCAATTAACTACAACCAAGCAAGGGTCGGTCCCCCAGTACTTTGATTTAATCTAATAAATTATCTAGACACACGTTAATTTATTGTCTATTTAACCACATGGTTCCCAAGGTAAGATTTTTCTTTTATTCATTGCGAACATCATATGAATGAAAACACACATAAGTGTTATATGACTATAAAAAGTGGCATAGTCATAGATGGACTGGGATAAAATTTAAATATAATCATCCTACAGGTAGCTTTTGTGTTAAATCAGTTATTTTTTAAATATTTGTTTTTAGACCAGCAAAATTAATTTGTATGTTGAAATGTTTTTGTGTACCGTACCTAATACTTTCTGTGTGTGTACTTTGGTGTTCCTTTCTGTGCTTATTACACAGCCTGAGTATGGTACCTACTCCACTTTTGTATCAAGATTAGTTTAAGAGTGAAATTTGTGTATACCACTTCCAAAAAGGCCTAGATTAAACTTATTTTCACAATTTTCAGTAAAAATTTGAATTAACTGTTATACCTCCCCCCCCCCCAAAAAATGAGTAAAATCATTTTTGTCCCATTTAGAAACTGCGGAAAGTAGTTATCTTGAAGAGTAAGGATGATCCTGCTTCGTCATCGTCGTCTAGTAGCAGTAGCTCTAGCAGTGGCACCAGTAGTAGTTCCGACGACTCGGATGAGGATGTTGAAATGTTGGACGACTCACAAGTACCCAGTAAAAAACTAGTGTGTAAGTATAGAGATAACATTTAATACTAATTTGGGTTAATCTTAGGCCTCATATATCCGATTCCACAGTTTTTCATTAAGGTACTTAAAGTTAGGGTAAAAGTCAGTTTGACAAAAGTATTGGTAGAAGTAAACGAGTCGGTCCCAGTACAAATCTCATCATCATCGTCATCATCATCATCATGGTACGTCACCTGTACCATTTAATTCTCAATTAGCGCCCTGAGCATTTCAAACATTTGCACCCCTCATACTGAAGGCTCCGGAAGTATGAAATACATCCTAATATTAACCTAAGCTTAAATATTTGCAAATAATAGATAATGTAGTAAAAATTATCATCAAAACCTTTATATTTAATTCAAGTTCTTGTTTTGATGGATTGGTTTGGGATGTTCAAATTAGTAGGCTAAACCTTCAGGTTTTATCGGCAAATTAGAGAAGCAAATACCAAAAGAAATACTAAAAGGGTTTGTTATTCCTAGAAGTAGGTTTAAAACCATCATCTATACTTCAATACTTTTCATTGAAATGGCGACCATTTCTAGATTCTCACAAAACCTTAACTGTTTGAAGTAGCGAATGTATCAATTTCCTTTAAAATAATTGTTTCTTCATAATATTGCCAAACGGCTTAATCATTTTCAAAATAAACTTATCACACACTTTTATAGAAATTTCTATATTTCGGCATTAGCCTTCTTCAGGAACAAACACAATAACAAATAGAAGTGTTTACCACTCTGAATCATATGGTTTTAGCAAAAATCCAAAATACATATAATTTATGAAGAAGTAAAAAAGAAAATGTTTTGATAGAAAGAAAGAAAAATTTATATATATATGTATATATATACTATCTCAAATTTAGACCGGAAGGTGTTTTAGATTTAAGTATTAATTGATGAGCTTGCTCAAGCTGTCTTAATTTCAAGTCTGGTGCGTCTTTTGCCAATTTTCTTATTCCTTTTAATGAATAACATTGTTCAAAATTTTGAGAATGCTCTCTCGCATGAATAGCCACAGGTTTTTGTTTATCAGGATGGTTTACATCATATCTGTGGCCATTCATACGAACTCTTAGAGCATTGGTGGTTTTGCCAATGTAGTCTTTAGGACAATTTTTGCATGAAATTTGGTAAATTACATTAGTAGACTCACAGGTGATGTTACTATTTATGTTATAACATCTTTTTGTTTGCCTGCTTGTGAAAGTTTTTGATGGGATGATTAATTTGCAAGTGGCACATCGTGGTTTGTTGCATTGATTACAGCCCATTAAAAAATCCATACCAAAAAGCCTATCAATACGAGCAAAAAACCTTTGTTCTGAAAATCGTGATTACCAAAATTATATTGAAAAACTCAGCAATTCACTTAACAGAAGAGGTTATCCTAAAAATTTAATAGACAGTCAAATAAAAAGCTCAAAAAATCCTAACACAGATAATTTCAAAAAAGATCCAAAATTCATCACCCAATACTTTCCTGGCCTTTAAAAAGTTAATAATGTTTTAAGAGTGGCACATAATATTCTTTCAAATTCACCTCTGACCCATAATTTGTTTTCCAAACCCCCAAGACTATTATACAAAAAAGCTCCTAACTTAAAAGACATTCTTTCAAAACCCAAACTACCTCCCACTTCCCAACCCTCAGCAAAACCTTCGGGCTGTAATCAATGCAACAAACCACGATGTGCCACTTGCAAATTAATCATCCCATCAAAAACTTTCACAAGCAGGCAAACAAAAAGATGTTATAACATAAATAGTAACATCACCTGTGAGTCTACTAATGTAATTTACCAAATTTCATGCAAAAATTGTCCTAAAGACTACATTGGCAAAACCACCAATGCTCTAAGAGTTCGTATGAATGGCCACAGATATGATGTAAACCATCCTGATAAACAAAAACCTGTGGCTATTCATGCGAGAGAGCATTCTCAAAATTTTGAACAATGTTATTCATTAAAAGGAATAAGAAAATTGGCGAAAGACGCACCAGACTTGAAATTAAGACAGCTTGAGCAAGCTCATCAATTAATACTTAAATCTAAAACACCTTCCGGTCTAAATTTGAGATAGTATATATATACATATATATATATATATATAAAAATTTTTCTTTCTTTCTATCAAAACATTTTCTTTTTTACTTCTTCATAAATTATATGTATTTTGGATTTTTGCTAAAACCATATGATTCAGAGTGGTAAACACTTCTATTTGTTATTGTGTTTGTTCCTGAAGAAGGCTAATGCCGAAATATAGAAATTTCTATAAAAGTGTGTGATAAGTTTACTTTAAAATAATTGGCAATTAATGACAGAAGGTTGAAAATAAGAAATCACAAGTAGGCCTAATTATGAAACTAACCTATAAAAAGGCTAATAAAATGCATAGAATAAACTATTTAACACAATTCAATAAATACATATTTGTTTGACCTAATGAATCCTTTTTTATGCTTACACTTACTGCTAACTCATCCCCATTTATTAGCTTCAAAAGTTCTTGTGCTAACCCGTCCTTATCATTAAGTATTTAGGTATATTCACAAGGGTTTGATTAATTTTATTTGGAATTGTTACAGGGTCAGAAAGTAAGAACGTTTTGCAATCTCTAGTTAAGAAGGAATCCTCCTCAAACTTAGAAGAGCTCAAAAAGCGAGTGAAAAGTAAAGTAATAAATAATGCTGCCACTGAGAGCACAAGCAAGTCAAAAGCTGGTTAGTGCTAACAAATTTAATCCTTAAAATTATGTCTATTCATTGGTACAACCCATAGATATGTATTTGCTTCAATCACTCCAATCCATTGTTTTGTTGTTACGCCAGCTGTCACCATATCTGCTCTCTCTCACTCTCTCTAGTCAGTCTGCTCATTCTGCTTCTGCTTTGTTTTCCCATCAAACAGCTGTTTTGCAGGGCTGACGTTGCCTTATTTATCATTACACCATTATGGAGAATGTCGGTAAAATTATAATAAAATTGCTATATCTTTTATTTTGTAAAAAAATTAATAGTTTGACTAATTTTAATCATGTTTATGTAAACTGATTAGAAAATAAATTATACTTATAGTTTGTTTACGCCAATACCACAGTTGTAAAAGTACAAAAATTATCGTCCATCTGGCAACACTGAGTTTAAAGTGGAACTGATCTTTTCTTTCTGCCAAGACCCAATGAGATTGCGTCATTCAGATGCATTGATTAGGGCCGGATTTAGCATTTTGGCGCCCCTAGGCCCAAATCATTTTTCCGCCCCCTAGTCTGGTCACAGTTTATTTCCTACAAACCTTTATTAAGAACTATATCATGCCTATAGGCCTATGTTAATTGCTTGAACACCTCTCCTTTTCGGAATGTTATCATTGAAAGTTTTTTGAAGAATTGTCTTGGCTAGCCTTTAACAAAATGCCGTCTTAAACACTTTTGTCAATTTTATGCTTTTGGCAAATGCTCACGCTTGTGGGACTGAAACAAAACAATCCAACCCACAGAGCATTCTTGCAAAAAAGCATACCCATTGATACAGGTTTTACGCCCCAAAACATGAACTCCATAACAGTGTGATACCATAGATTAAACATACTATTTTAGTAGATTTGTCATCCTTAGCTGAAATTAGCTTAAAACGATTCTTTTTATTTAAGTTATTTAAACCTAGTTTGTCCAAAATAAAACGATGTAATCATAAACAATAGGTCGTCCCCTGGTTATATTACAAGAAATTAAAACACACAACATAGAACTATCCCTAAAATAATACCTAGAAACAACATGTATTACGTCAAAAGTAACTTCCAGTGTCACCAACATATATGAACTAGACATGAAAAACAATATTTAGAATTAACAATGTGATAAAAAGTCGACTTGAGTTTATGGTTAAGCTATGGTAGTACTGCATCCAGATTATATTTGCAAAGCAAACCAAAGTAATAGTCCTGCCGACCATAATTATCCTCAGGTCTGAGCTGATGAGAAAATTACACCATTAATGGTGCTTTGGAGGGGATTTAATTTTTCTAAATCCTGTTGCAAACTCAGATAAATATTTTTTCGTTATTGAATTTTAAAGAAACTTATCATATTTTTAATATTCAACAAAACGTGTTAAATATTTTAACTTGACCCTGCAGGTAAACTAATCAAAAGATTAGTTAATAAATTTTCTTTTTGTGTAGTGAGGGTGGTAATGGTGTCTAACACGCATGCGCCCCTAATCACTCCGATCAGTAGCGCCGAGCCGGCCGGCATGGTGGCAGTGCAAAGACATCGAAGTATATACTTCGATGTGCAAAGATTACAGTGGCAATACGATGCGTACCACTCCGCTCGACAACATCCCTACAGCCTACTCCCGTATAACCAATGTGTAACGAAATTGATGCTTAATGTTGAAAAATAGTTAAAATTTTCTAACAGTTACTTCTTCCAATGAATTTCAAAATTATAATGCTTTATTAGCAAGAGTTCTTTTTTATCAACTAGCAAAATATGTTAAGCTATGGCTATTTATTTTATTTTTAGATATTAAAAAATATTTGTTCCTCTCGGCCGTGCGCCCTCTGGGAGCTTGCGCCCATAGGCCCGGGCCTACCGGGCCTATTGGGAAATCCGGCCCTGGCATTGATGTTCCTTGCAGTAACTTATCGGTTTGTAACACTTAACACCAATACCGATTAATGTGAAAAAATATTATGCTACAATAGGTTATTTTTATTTGTTGTATTTCTATATTTTGGTATAAAATATTTTGTTATTTCTATAATTTGGTATAAAATATTTGTATGGCAGTTAAAACTAAATCTGATACTGTAGGCCTACTTTATAATATCTTCAAGAATCGTCTGCCATTGTTATACTAGTCACGAGACTCCCTTGTTGACTATCGACTATTGCAATTCGATAGATTCATTCAATGCTTTATTTCAACTTACTGTATCGTTATCGAGATGTATTGTTGACTGTTGTAGGAAAGTGAAAGTATGTTAGTAGTCCTATTGCTAGCTCTGCCGAATGACGATGGGGGATTGTTGAACATTTGGTTTACGCTGGTCTAACCTATATGAGGTTAGATAGTTGTTTTTTGTAGGAATGGGGATTAAATAAGGCATCTACACAAAAAAAAAAAATTAATTGATTAAATATGGGTGTAGAAAATCGTGAAGTGGCACTATTTGTAACTACTCGACTCGAATTTTCGAGTAGTACTAACTCGAAGGTCGAGTACTCGCCCACCCCTAAGACTGAGTGATGACGTAACAGTAACCCTGGTGGTGGTGGGAATCCAGACGTGAGGCGTGTTGAGAAAGAATGAAAAAGCATTTTAAAAAAGAAACCAATGACAACAAATTGTGTCTCAACACGTTTTAGGAGGAAAGGCGGCAACCGGTTACAGTTATGTCATCACTCAGTCTAACCCACCTATACTCCATCTTGCAACTGGGGTCCAAGTAGCCACTTTGGTATGTAACTGAACTCGTATTTTGTAAAGTTTATTGTATGTGTGTAACTTTCACGTTTGTGTACATTTTATATAGGATTGGAAAGAAAGACGCTGAGTCAACATTTAAAAAGAAAACACCTTGAAAATGAACCAATGGATGAAGATGACTTGTACACCAAGAAACGACCTAGTAAAGCGGTAAACTTGAGCTCAAACTCTGGCAGGAGTGTACTTCACCGGACTCAGGAAAGCCAGCAAGTAGACGCTCCGGTCTCAAAAAAGACATCTACAGAAAGCCAACGTATGGGTGAGTTTTATTGTGTGTTACAGTAAGGATTCGTTTATTTTTTTACCATACAACTGCTCTATGTAAGAATGTTAAGTTGCACACTCTGTGCCCTGCATGGATCTTTTTACTGTATCGGCTCATCTGTCTATTTGGAACCTCAATGACAAGACAATACACCCTCTATAACAAGTTACTTTGCTTAACAATAGTGTCATTTTCAAATACCCTTATTTTTGTATGTTAAATACTGCAAACCTCCATAAGAAGTTTACCTCACTTATAGCATTATAGGAGACCATTTAAATAATTGAATTAACCATGTAAAAGTAAAAACGTAGACTAAAACCAACGCAAACACAAAATTAAAACAATTCTGAATACAAGCATAGCCACAACAAATCATGTTGGCTATAGTATACAACAGGATTGAAAAACTTATTTGATATATTTAATACAGCGAGGTAGCAGATTGGTGAGTTATCAGAGGTTGCTTGTTCAATCCTAAGCAGTCAGATGTTTGATGGTTTGAAAATAGACCTAGCTGTCCTTGTTCTTTGGGCTGGTAATACATGATACTTGGTTATGAAACAGCCGGTCTTAATTTGTACAAAGCTACAGAAGTTCTCTTGGAAAAGGTTCAGCCCCTATTGAGTGTATGAACGTAGATTGCAAGAGTGTCTACTTTGCTTGGCTCTGTCTGAAGCTTGTACCTTTCAAGCAATGATGTTGTCAGCAGAGCTAAACTAGTGATGTGACGAGTCGGGTACTTTACTGACTCGAGTGACTCGACTCGCCAACTGCCGTGAACTCCAGTTACGAGTCGAGTCAGACTCAACTCGAAACTCGACCCATAACCAATGCATCATGGGAGTCCGCAACGACTCGGTGTCGACCAATAGGGTTATAGTTTTGCGAGTCGGCCGTCTCGGTAGCGGCCAATAGCGTGTCAGCTTTACGAGTCGACTCGACTGGAGACGTTCCGAGTTCGTTAGTTTTGCGAGTCGGCCGACTCGGTACTGGCCAATAGCGTGTCAGCTATGCGAGTCGAGTTGACTCGAAGTTCGTGTAGGTTCGTCTTTCTCCGTATGAGTTCGGTTTCGTTTTGTGAGTCGGACTCATTACGTTACGAGTTCGTGTAGCTTCGGAAATCTCCGTACGAGTTCGTACCAACTCGAGTTGTAATTGAGATGACTCGACTCGGGTCTTGACTCGAGTCAACTCAACTCGCCAACTCAACTCGTCACATCACTAAGCTAAACCAAACCTGAAACATTTTACTCTTGCTAAATATAATAAAAAAAGTATAAGTAAATAACAATTTCAATTGTGTTCTTATTTTAGGTCCAAAACTGCCTCCCTCGAAGAAGACAGTGTTTGAAAGACTCGGAGTAGAAACTAGTGTTCCTCAAGTGTCCAGTACGACAGAAGTATCCAAGCCAGAAATAGAGACAAGGTTTACAAGAACAATAGGTAGCGTTAGTCTGCCGACGGACAATGTTAAGATAGTTGCCAACATTGATATCCCTCCGCCCAAGGTAATAACAAATTTGTGTTACTTTTTTAATATATGTAAGTTATCTTAACCTTTCAAACCAAGGAATGGTAATACCCCTCCCCCCCTTGAAGGGTGAGCCTTACAACTTGCAATGTTCCCCACCTTATTAACTGGGGTTCATATAAAGATTACTTGACAATAAATAGGCTAGTTACAAGTTTACACATTTGTATTTTATGTTGACAATGTACAGTATTTTATTGTTGTTATATTATGTTGACAACCCTCAATCTCTGAGTCAAAAATTGTCTACTTAGTGAGGTTTTAATGTACCTTAATTCTAGATACTTCCTAATAATAAAACTTCTAATCCAACCATTCATTCCCATGATATAACATGGGTAGTTATGATTGTTATTTTTAAGCAAATAATTTGTTAGCTGTAAAAATTGTTAAAATAAGATGTTTTTAAAGTACGCCTCTCTATAAACATAAACTTTGCTTTAGCTTCATAATAAAAAAAATTGAATCTTGATTTTGTTACTTTGAATGTTAACTTTTAAGTTTTCTGAGATAGAAAACATTAAAACCCCTCACCCCTCATCCCTGCCCCCTCGCATCTTTAGTTAAGTTACTGAAACAGCATCAATGCCTTTACATAAAAAAAATGCTTGTTTACTGTGACATAACACATTTTGAATGTGTTGTAGTCAAGCTCTGTGTTTAACCGCCTCGGGGACGTCACTCAAGAGGCAGTGACGAAGACAGCTCTGCCGTACGCTGGGGTGCTCAAATATCCTGCGACGACAGCACGGCCTCAGACTACTGTTACCAAAAGTGAGTGAAAACAGTTTTCTCTCTCATAGATAATGAAGACCATGACTGGCAGTAAAGGGATTTAAATCATTGGTACACAGTTCAAAGTCTAAACAAACTTAGTGTACAGCTGTTTAGTACCTACTGATGTTTTGTACTGGATTGGACTCATTTAGGTCCAAAATAACGTCAGATTATCAGGACAGGAGATGTTTGCCCTTTTGCCTCTCTGTGTTGATTTATTAAGTGTCTTTTTTGAACACTGGATAACTTCAACAGACAGCACAACTAGTTTTTATTCAGATCTGATTACGTACTCGGTAAAAAACAGCTGTAGTCCGTCCAACTACTTAAGACCATTTAAATTCAAACTATTTAACGTCAGAATAATGGAGGGGATGGTGGAATACAAACTTAAGAATCATATTTAAAAAAATTGGCCCAATGTAAATTCTGTTTTGTTTGTAAGTGCAGTAGAAAATAAAATGTACAGGCATATTTGAATTATTATGAAAACTTTAAATTTTCCATGAGGAAATATAAATGCATGTTTGAAGTTTAAATTTATCAAACTATCACAACCATCATCCACCTATCATTTACCTATTTAATAATTAAAATGGGTTTTATTTTTAATCATTTACCTATTTTTTCAGAAGTCATAACCATGCGAGCAGATGAACCCGAAGTTCCAGTAAAGCTCAGAGCCGCAACAAATCCTCTGATCCAGAAGAATATTAAAATGCGGGTTGGAAGTGTAGACACATCATTTAAAGCCATCCAAAGGCCGAAACTAATCAGGAAAAATCTTACCAATGGTAGTTTTTTGAACCCCAATAGTGAAGGAATTTTCGGTATGTGCATTAAATAATTATAGTAGTTTTAGACATTACAGTAGAACCCCTCATATCCGACTATGACAGGTCTGGGCCACAATACACGCAACCATGAATACTAATACATATTATGAAATAATCATTAGCAAAAATTGTAAATACTGTACTTTTAATTGGGTTCGTTGAATATCTTTAGGGGCTTAGGATCTAGTGTAGGCCTACCTACGGATGTTGATGAAAACGGCAATTTCCTTTAGGGCTTTGTACCCTCACGTTTAATCTATTTCTGGAGTCCATTTTCAAAGATCCAGTTACCTGACCAACTAAAAAATAACTTTCTTTCTAACGGTTTGAATGAGAATTGTAATCTAACAGCTGATTTGTCAGTTAAATGTTGAACCACTGTCAGATTGTAAACAAAAGACTAAACAGTATATGAGCATTATTTTAAATAGGCTACTTTTTTCATTGTTAACTGTAATGTGACTGAGGTAGGTAAATCACTATTCATATTTTAGATCTAAAATCAATTCATTTCTTGTAAATTAGTAGTTCTATTCGCCAGAACTGTTCCAAACAAACATAATCTTGAAAAGGTTAATGGATATTGCTCTGGATTCATTTTGCCTCGGAAACAAGTTTTTTACCCTATTTAACTGCTCAATTTGTCCCTGGATCCCCTCTCGATTAATTATTACTGTATAATACTATAGGCCTACTGAAATACATCGTATCATTTTAATGGGACCTAACAATAAAACAAATTAAACAAAAGTACCTACTAATGAAAATAATATACACTGAATTTAACTTATTTTGAGCTTAGGCTACATGAAAAAAAACAAACACAAAAAACAGTTATTTAGTGCAGGAGAGTAATATTTTAAGTCTGAACGCTTGGGTTAGTTTGGCCGCAATAATCTAAAACCACTGAGGGTCGGAGATCCCGAGGTGTCGGTTATGTGGTTCGGATTCCACTATAAACTGTAGGTCCCTTTCCCTTAGTTGCCATTAACTGTATGGGCTATTAATTAACAGCTGTGTCTGAGGAATGTCGGCCTTAGTCACTAACAAGACTACAAGATTGCGCCACTCATCCTACACTCATCTCCATTCATACTTGGCTTAAAATACCTACTTTGTATGGTCGCCATTTAATAATAAAGTATTATGTAAAGTATTAAAGTATGTCTCGGTCTGATATGAAGGATTCTATCAGAGAAGTTTGAGAGTTTTCAAATTTTGCAGAGAAGTTTGAGTTATTGTTGACTATACTTTCGGCTCATAAGCAAGAGAACAAGTATTATTTGCATACTTTTGATATTGATACAATGTACAGTCGCCAAATATCAGTTAAAAGAAGCCAGTCTCTTATAAACTTAATTAGTCTAAAACCACGTTGAAGGGATTGAAAAATCTTATCTTTGACATCAAATTTAATTTAAATTTCAAATATAGCCACAGAAATTAAATAACTTATTTGTTTGATCAAAAATAAGTCAAGCCAAGATAAGTTAAAGCTGATCAAGAAGTTATTTATTAAAAAATAAGTGACTTTTACTTTTGAAACATGTATTTTTGAACTTACTTCCTGGATTAGGCATTAGTCCGTAAAGCCCCATGGTTATTTACTGGTTTAATTGCGGTATGTCCATTTTAAAATGCTATAGCTAAACATTTTTTGACATGTTTATGAGACAGGGCTTTTGAGTACCTAATACAGTAGATAGGATTTTCTCAAGATCAGCTTTTCAAGTATTGCACAAGTAAGTGCTGATACCTAGTCCATAATGGAGAAATTTTATGATTTGTTTTGCATACTATGTTTATTTTACAAAAACTTTGGTATTTTTCAGCCAATCCAAAAAATGCTGTGCAATTAAATGCAAAAGAAAGAATAGGTCTTCAGAGTCGACAAAATGTTTCAAACAAAAGTGCCAAAGCAAGATTAGGTCTTCAAATGAACTCTGGCAGGATATCAAAAACACCAGTAACACAGGTTTGTCGATAATATATATAAATATATGACAAACCCATTTTTGTCTCGTGCTATCTTATCTTCTTCCAATAAATACTTGAGTTTGCAGGCCTATTGATGCATTAACTTAGTAAAATTAGTAAAAATTTGTTCAACACTACTCAATATATTTACACTTTATACTGTAAACATTTCAGGTCAATAAAATATGTTGTAATAGCTGTCAATTTTGGACCAGTCATACATGTCATCACCAGTCCCGATTGGATACTCAGTAGTTGAGTTAAGTTTGTGGAGAAGTTACTAACATTATTTTGGGACAGTTTCTTAGGGTTGGAAAACGAAAGGTCAGATGAAAGAGGGACTGCTGTAAGTAGATTTGTCTTGGTAAGCCTGTGTATAATTAAAATATTGACTTACAGAGGATCAGGAGACCACGGTTTGGAGATGAAGAAGTGAAGACAACAGCTTACAGAACTGTCGGTGACAAGAGGGTGTCTTTTGGAGGGGTGATTCAGAGGCTTATCTCTCCTATGAGACCTTCTCGGGGTGGAAGCAAAGCCAAATCAGGAATACACAGTAGGCTAGGGCGTATGCGTGCCTTCTCTAATTAAAAAATAAGTTTAAAATAAATATAAACTTCAACTTGAGTTCCAAAGATGAAAATAGAACTCATAAGATTCTACCTTATGAGATTCTAACTTATAGAGACTGCATAAGATGTAAATGCAGCTTATGAAACTACATTCAACAATGAGGTTATTGCTATAAGAACAGCCTTGTCTAAATTTGCTTCATTTTATTATGTTGTGTTTATAATATTAACATTAATCGGACCTACTGCTAGATGAAAATAAATGTCCTTTCTATATTTATATTGTAAGTATACTTTCTATAGGTACTTGTATTATAAGTATAGAAACTAGAAAGGACATTTATTTTTATCTAGCAGTAGGTCCAATTAATTAATGTGACGATTATTTGGAATTAGAAACTTGATCTGTAATTGTCTGGTCAGATTTATTTGGAAAAAAGAAATTTAAAATTTTTTAAGTATTAATGATTGTTAGTAATGATTAATATTAATGCTCAGATAGATTTGTGCAAACAAAATTAGAAACGAGGAAAGTAGGCTGTAAATTGTGTAATCATCTAAACATTAAATACAATAGTCTTGTATTCAGTATAAATAAAAATCACTGATCAGTAAATCACTGAGTTTTAGTAAATCAGTGATTTACTAAAACTGATTTAGTAGCAGTTTTAGTAAATCATTGTTTGAGTTGACAGTAAAATGCTCTAGTTTAAATCTTTGTGTAGCCTCTAGGCGCAAATGGTTGTGTTCCTCTGTTCTTTAGGTAATCCAAATAAAATTATTGCTGGTGTAAAGTTGTTTGTAAAAAGGTTGTTTAATAATGTCTAATATGAAAGTGTTTGTCAAAGAATCTATCCTCAAAACTTTGCACTGACGTTATTAATTTATTTCATAGTTAATTGAAAGTTTTATGTTCAGACACTGTCTTGTTATGAAAGTTTATTATCTATGTAAAATGGTTGAGGACAATTTAAGTTAATGAAAAATATCATAATGTCATTAAAACCATCTAAAAAAAAAACACTGTTCTCATTTTAATTTTAATTTTTTTTTATTGTACTTTGTAGCAAATTTCCCTTGAGGGAAGTAGCTATTACCGTAGGTGGCACGGTAAGACCTAGACTCGGGACCGATTTACTTTTTCATTTGGATGTCCCCAGAGGTAAAAAACACCATTCGTTCAAATTATTATATATGTATATAAATTATTATATACGTCCGTGAACGCGATAACTTGAGTAATTTTTGTCCGATTTTGATGAAATTTGGTTTTAAGGTGTAAGGCAGGAAAAACTTGAATGAGTTTGCGAACCAGCATGATCAGACCATGGGAACGGGGTTTTATGGGGTAAAAAATGGGGTTTCTCATTTTTGATCCTCAAAACACAAAATTTGACAATTTCTCTCTAGACCTTTTTATTGAGCTTAAAAAAACAAATAATTAATGATATCAAAGAGTTTTGGTTATTGGTAACGGAGAAAGTTAAAAAAATCGTAAATTTAAAATTCCCATGTTATTCTTATGGGGAATATTGTAAAATGTTGTAGTTTGCTTGTTTATGGATATATTTTTACTATGGATATGTTTATTGATCAAACATGGCAAATTTATTAATTTTATTCTAAGCTGTTAATATTTTACAAAAAAATACACTTTATTAGTTTCCTTGTAGCAGCAAATCTAGGTACTCATTAAACCTAATGTTATTTAAATAGATTTAATTGAAAATCAATTCAGACAAATGGAAATTCGCTTAGTTGGCAGGTTTGCTGCGGTGAGGGTATTTTTATAAAAAAAGAACTCTGAAATGCTCTTTGGTGTAAATTAGTTTTGTAATAAAAAGTACTAACAGTTAATGAATTGCCAATAAGATGTAAATAAATACTTATATTTTTTGTGGCATTTCTCGTCTTGTAAAATAATGTGTTGTGTTGAATAACGTCCCTGTGTACAAATGCAGAAATAAAACTATTATAATAAAAAGAAAGTGTTATTTAATCATATCCTTCTGGTAGAATTCTCTCTGTGTGTGTACTTTTTTATAAAAGCCTCACACTAAAGGTTTCAGGACAATTAATTAAGGATGGTGTGAAAATATAAATATATAACAATTAATTACAGTATAAAATAATCTTACATTAGATTTAAAAGTAATGGTCGCAGCTTTGAAATAAAACCTAAAAGTGTCAACAGTGGTGGCTTAAAAAGTTAACATGTGAATAAATTTACCACAAACCTTATTTCAACAGTGCCGGTGACAATGCAATCGTTTATACTTCCAAACTCAATCTAACTTTTCTTGTTTCCAAAAACATTTTCTGCCCATCAACTGTATGCTTTTTCCTGGTTTTCATTTCGTGCTGCAGCAGATAAGAACACCTATGCTTGATTGCTTGGTAATGAAAGAATCATTGCCTCTTGACTTTTTTACTGTTTAATTAAAAGCAAATACTGTACTACATTTTCACCAAGTTAATAAATAAGTAGAACATCGTACAAAAATATTGAATAAAAGTTTAAATTTGATGTTTTAACCACTAAGCTGTTGCCTGTATTGAACATGAAATGCATATTTATTACTGAATAGCTAGGTAATTATTCAGTATGCCGTTAACTTATAAAAATTAGTTCAACACTACTTGACATATTTACACTTTAGCCTATACTGTAAACAGTTCAGGTCAATAAAATATGTTGTAATAGCTGTCAATTTTGGACCAGTCCTACAGTCCTACCAGTCCTACGAGTACTAAGGTTTGCTGCAACAGGGAGGATAAAAATGGTTTTTTGTTGTAAAATGGTAATACTGTAGTTTAGTAAGAAATTAATGTATTTTCCAAATTTGATCAAAATATGTTCATAAACACGCAAACTACAACAGTTTACTTGTTCTCCATAAGAATAACATGGGAATTTTAAATTTAAATTTTCTCTGAACTATTAGGCGCATAACAACGCTTCAATTTACTAAATTATTTTTTAAGCCCTACAAAATGGTTTGGAAAGAAATTGCTAAATTTTATGTTTTTTGGGTCAAAAATGGGAAAAACCTTTTTTTACCCCATAAAACCCCCCGTAAACCCCCGTTCCCATAGTCCGATCATGCTGGTTCGCGAACTCATTCGAATAAATGTAGGTTTACACGTTTATACCAAATTTCATAAAAATTGGATCATTTTTGCTCGAGTTATCGTGCTAACGGACACACACACATATATATATATATATATATATATATATATATATATATATATATATGAATTTGAATGGATGGTGTTTTTTTCTTCTATTCAATGTTATGGTATGACAAAAACATGTTTGCAAAAGCTCTAGACACTAATTGTGACTAATTTTAATTTGATTTATCCAAAATATTAAACAAATCTTAAAACAAACTATTATATTACTTCATCTATGCTATTACAGTATTCAATAGTAGGCTATGGTTAGAAATTTTGCCACGATTAATTAAAGAAATCATGATATTTGCAAATACAATGACCCTTTGAGGGGAGTCTTTGTTCTACCTGTAATTAATTAAAGTCAAGTTACGAGTAACTAAAAATTGTTCAGTTCCTTTGATTTTCTGTTGTTAAATAAAGACAAAGAGACTAATTAGAAGATTGGACGGTGTATTTTGAAAACAAGGCAAATTAAGTGAACTGCCTTTGGCTTTACTTTAAGACCTGCTTTCAAAATGTTTCATTTTATAACTCTTTATTTGTTTACTTCTCTTTAACCTTATAAATATTTGAATGGGAAATTGAATATTTTAAAATTGTTAATTTTTGTAGCCAGGATCCAACATTTACCCTTGTAGTAAACCGTTCTGTCAAAAAACTGAGCTAATTTTTATAATATGTTAAGTATGGGGATGATCCATTGATGGAGTCAATAACAATCAGCAAGCTATAGCAATATGTTTATCTCCATTATACTTTTCATTCCTTTTCAATATCGAATGAAATATTCCTCAATTATCTGTTATATTTCCTCGTACAGATTAATTTTACCTTAGTAGTTGCTGTCAATTTTAGTAAAATAAAATACCCCGCCGCAGAAAACCTGCAGACTAAGCGAATTTCAATTTGCCTAATTGTTTTTACAATAAAATATCTCCTTAAAAATATCACATTTATTCCATATCTAAATATCATTAGTTTAAAGATTACTTAGGTTTGCTGCAACAGGGAAGATAATAAAGTGTTTTTGAGAAATTTTAATTGATTGTTTAGTATTAAATAAATGCATATTCCAAGTTTGATCAAAATATGATTATGAATAGGCAAACTACAACAGTTTATTTATTCTCCTTAAGAATAACAAAGAAATTTTAAAATTGCTATTTTTTTGAATTTTTTCTGTAACCATTAGGCGCATGATAACACTTTAACATACTAAATCATATGTTTTTTAAGCTCTACAAAATTGTTTCAAAAGAAATGCAGAAAAAAAAATAGGAAAACGCATTTTTCCCCATAGTCCGATCAGGCTGGTTCGCAAACTCGTTCAAATTAAAAGGTAAATTAGGTTTACACGTTTGTACCAAATGTAATCAAAATCAGATAATTTTTGCTCGAGTTATCGAGCTAACCGACATAATATTTATTTGTATACAGTAAGAGGCAGCAGCACGTGGCAGACGGCCTTATAAAACAAATCTGTACAAGAAACTCAACATCTGATTGGTTGCTAAGCCTTGCTTTGTCTTTTACAACATTGACTGTGCTAAACAGGAAAACGTCAAATCTTATAGTACAAATGGTATAGAACTTTGTATTAAAAAATAATAATTTGTATGGTTATTTTGAACCAATAACTTTAGTTTACATCAATTTAAGGTGCAAAATATAAATTGCCATAAGAATTAAATTCTTTTAATGGACCGAACGAATAATCCAAACAGTTTTTATGGCAATAAGGCAAGATATTTATTATATCACTAGCTGTAACCCGCGGGCTTTGTCCCGTTTAACTTCTTAATTTTCAAGATGATCTCGTTCGCATGGCTCAATCACGTCCTGGTTGAAGTTCGTTCGCTACGCTCACTCACCTTTAGGTTGGAGCTCGTTCGCTACGCTCACTCACCTTTAGGTTGGAGCTCGTTCGCTGCGCTCACTTGCCTTCAGGTTAGCTCGTTCGCTACGCTCACTTGCCTTCAGAGGTTAGCTCGTTCACTACGCTAACTCGCCTCCAGGTTGAAGTTCGTTCGCTATGCTCACTCACCTTTTGGTTGCAAATTAGCTGTTGTCATAAATGTAAAAGAAATAATAGTGCAGCACCCTGTTGGTAATCCTTGTAACTTTAATGCTATTGAACATCATAGAACAGAACCAACTTGTTTAATTGAAACAGCTGTTAAGATTCATTAATTCCATTTCTCATAAGGTTAACATGGGAAACTCCAGAGCCACTGGGGCGGAGCCAATTGGACGGATAACGAAATTAAAGGTGTACAAACCTATTCCATTAAATTCTACACGTATGTACCAAGTTTTGTGGCAATCGGTCCAGCGGTGTCTGAGCTTATCACTGCCAAATATATATACAAACATCCTCTTTTATACTTATAGATAAGTATGGATTCAGTAGTAAGATATGACAAGATGATATAACAAGATAAGATAATAGATATTAAGTTGATGATATACTCATGTTCATAATCTTGCACAACACCAGTGAGATGTTACTTTACTTATCAGCTTTACACATGATTTACCACTGAACATTGTGACAATGATAAAGCTGTTATTTCTCCCCACCCCTTGTTCAAACATAAACACATAATATCCTTATATACTTAGAATTGTTTAAAATGTCTATTAGAGTTACAAGATGTGCATGACTTTCTGTGTCTGTCTGTTTGTTGTTCAATAACAATTATAATTTATTTTAACATTTATACGAATAGGCCTATATATAGTTATTTTTAAGCCTTACCCAAAACTCAAAATAATTTGAGTAAACAAGAAGATAAACTGCTCACATTAGTGAAAATTAATTTCAATTCTAGTTGGTTCAAGTTTAATTGCAATGGATATGTTCGTAAATCCATAGCAAAATCGTAACAGATTGTTTATTTCTGACCTGTTGTTTATTATTTGATGGAGGAATTAAAACTGATACTTAAGTTAAAGCACTTGTAGGCCTATTTCAAGACATGCAGACACTCGATTATTTAAAAAAAAAAAATTAAAAATGCCTACAATAGTTACAGGTTGTTTAATGAAATGTTCCCCGCAAGACCTAAGTCTGCGAAAGAGTCCTTGGGCACTCAGAACTGGGTTGGTTTAGGATTTATCAATTGATTGAGTAAAGTCAATGACTTACGCAAAAGTTATTGATTTGTACATTTTTGTGAGACTCAGTATTACCAATACTACTGGAGTAACTAAAACTTGACGAATTTATGATTTTTAAACAAAACTTTTAATTATAAATAAGGAGTTACACATTTTATGTGTATAAGCCTACTATTATGCTCGAACCTTGACTAAGCTCAAAACATAAAATATGGATAACTTTTTTTAAAGGCAATATAATTTTTTTTACCTAACAGTGGGTTTATGTATTTTTAAAGAGGTCGTTTTGCATAACTACCTAAAACCTAAGCTATCTTTATGATGTATTGAACAAGAGAATAACCCAAATACGCTATAACTTCTCTTTCATTTCTCAGATACATGAATTGAAATTAAAATCAAAAACGAATATTTTGATAACATTTTCACTAATTAATTAGAAATATTTTATTAGGTTTACACATAAATGTGGTAACAACAATGCCGGGGAAACTAATAGAAACCGTAACAGTGGTTTCTGTAATGTAATATGAAAAAGAAGATGGAAAAACTTAAATTAGGTTGTGGAAGAACGCAGTATTCTTTCTTTGTCTGCAAGTTTTTCTCTTTTTACAGTAGAACCAATAACAAATGTGAAAAATCAAATAGGTAATTTTAGCTA